GCTTGGCTCAGATGAGGGTCCGTCCTACGCCTGCGCCGGCTTGGGGGGGGCATGCGCGCGCCGGTTCCAGCGTCGCCGTCGCCAGACGGGACCCGGGGAGGGGCGGGGGTGGCCGACCGGACGCGGCCCGCCGCGAATGTGGGTCCCCCCGGTCGCACAGGCCCCCAGGCCGGGGGGGGGGGGGAGGAAATGCCCCGTACGAGCGCCCCTGCGCCCCTGCGCGGCCCCTGCGCGCGGCCCCTGTGGTGTGCGCGCGCGCGTGCGGCCGGGCGGCCAACCCGCGGCGGTTCGCGCCCGGTCGCCGGCCGCGGCGGCGGGCATTCCTCCGCCCGGGGGGCCCCCGGGCGCCGCGGTGACACTCCCGGGGCCCGAGCGCCGGTGCGGGGCAAAAAAAACAAAAAAAAACACCCCCCCATATGCCCCTTTCTCCCGAGCCGCGGCCGACGGCCGCCCGGCCGGTGGAGGCGCGGAAACGCGGGCGTGCGCGCGCGCGCGCTCGCGCCCCCGCCGCCCGTGCGCCCATGGCGTGGCGGCAGGTTGCCAACGGACCCCATGGGCCGCGGCAATCCCCGGCCGCCAAGCCCCCCCCCTCCCCCCCCCCAGACAGAGCAGGGCGGCGGGGGGCGGCCGGGCGCCGGCGCCGGGGAGAAAGGGCCCTCCGCCGCCCGCCCGCCCTCCGCCGCCGCCTGGCCGGCGTGCGGATGATTAATCGTCCCGGCCAGGCCGCCCCGGGCCGGCGCGCATTCAAACCCCGCCATCACTCGATGCCAAATGGCCGACACCCGGGGGTGCGCGCACCCCCCCCACCCCCCCGCCAGGCGACCTCGCTCCCGGCCGCCCCGGCCGCCCGGCCGCGCCCAGCCGGTCCTAATATCCGGCCCCCACGGGGCAGGCTTTTCGCCCTCCGACCCCGGGCCGGACAAGCAGGGCGGCCGGGGAACTGTCCCCCCCCCCCCCCCCCCCCCCCTCGCCCTCGGGCAGCAGGTGGAGGTGCTCGGGCTTACATATGTGTGTATATATTATATATTCGGCCACTGTGGTTACTGCTCCCCGGGCGCCGGAGGGCTCCCACATTCATTTGGCGCGGCCGGCGGCTCCTGCCAACGCTCCTCGCGGTCGCGGGCCACCGACCGCGAGAAGGCCGACACCAGCAGCGAGGAGACCACCGTCCGGGCCAGGTCGCGGCAGAGCCGCTCGAAGGCCTGCTCGTCGTCATTGTGGTCGTGGTCGCGGCCGCGGCCCGGCGAGGGCGGCCGGCTCGGGGCCGGGGTCGAGGCGTCCCAGAGCCGCGCGCGCGCGGCGCAGGCGCTGTGCCGCGAGCCGCATGTCCGTGGGTCGGTGGGAGTCAGTGGCATGCCCCCCCGGTCGCCCTGTGGCTTTCTCGTTCTGCCCCCCCCCCCCCCGCCCGGCCCTCCGGGCTGTCTCTCGCTCACGTACCGGTCCAGGCGCCTGCCCTCCTCGGAAGCGGCATCCAGGCCGAGTGTCTCGGCCACCGAGGCCGGCCCGGCCGCGGCCAGCTCGATCAGGTAGAGCGCGGCGGACTCCTGTTCCCCGGGGCCCGGTGCCGAGGGTGGATGCCAGGCAAGTGTGTATGTGCGTCAGCGAAAGCGGAGCGCCGGGAGAGCGCGCACCCCCCCGGCCGCGGGAGATGAGGCCGGAGCACGTACCACCATGCACGCGCCGTAGGCGCCGGCCCCGGAGCGACCGCACTCGGACACGCGCTGGAGCGAGCGCGAGCGCTGGGCAAAGCGCGCGTAGCTAACCACGGCCAGGCGCCCGGGGGGCGACGGGTCCCCCGGGCCCGAGCCCCGGCCCTCGCCAGGCGGCTCGGCCAGGAGGGAGGCCGCGCGGGCCCGTGCCGCCGCCACCTCGGCCATCGACACGTCGAAGGACAGCTCCGAGGCCGAGGCCGACGGCGAGGGGGCCCAATCCAGCAGAGCCCCCGGCGTGGCGGGCGGATCGGCCGGCTCCGGGGCGCAGTGCTCGGCACACAGGGCCGGCAGGGCGTCGGCGGGGGGCGCCTCGGCCGGCCGAGCCACCACGGCCGCCGGGCAGACGTCCGGCCGGGCCACCAGCCCCAGGGCGTAGATCAGCCCCGGGGTCAGGTCATCGGCGCCGGAGGCCGACAGGGGCGGCAGGTCGGCCTCCGAGATGTCCGGGCTGCGGCCGCCCTCGGCCGTGGCGGCCAGCTGCCGCAAAAAGAGCACCACGCTCTGGGGCGCCGTGCAGATGGCCTCTGCGAGGGGCGGGGAGGGGGCGAGTTTGTCAGCTGGCCATGCACAGACAGGCACATGCATATGCGCATGCGCGTCCGGTCACCCGCGGCCCGGGGGGGGGGGCGGGAGGCAGGACCCGGCCGTGCGCGCGGCAGGGCTCACGGCCGGGCGACCGCCGGGCACGCGGGGCCGGAGGCGGCGGCCGGCCGGCCATGAGATGGCCATTGGCCACGTACCGGACACGGCGGAACAGGCCAGGGCGCAGACGGCCGCCACGTCGGCCGGGGATCTGAAGGGCCCCCGGTGCCAGATGTCCCGGGGCCCGGGGTGCGCCACCAGCTGCCGGAGGATGGCCCCGGCCGCGGTGGCCACCGTGCGCTCGGTCCACCGGGCCAGCGCGGCATCCAGCTGCGGCCCGGACAGGCCGGCGGCCACGGCGGCCAGGCGCCCGGGCCCCGGCAGCCGGGGGACCGGCAAGCCGAGGGCCGCGGCCGATGCGCGGGCCCGGCCGCACGCGCAGCCCGGCGCCGCGCAGGGCTCCCGCGCGCCGAACAGCACGAAGCACGCCCGCTCCAGGGCCGCGTCCAGCCGGCGATCGGCCACCGGGGCGAAGACGCTGTGTCGCGGGGCGCAGGGTCAGCACAAAGCTCCCGGCCCTGGGGGGGGGGGGGGGGGGAATCTCGCGCGCGGGTACGCATGGCGGCCCAAGCGTACTCGACACGCAGGGACACATGGCACACGGGGAAGCAAATGCCCCAAAAGGCACACATGGACAGAGAAGCACATGGACAGAAAGGCGCACAGGCACACATTGCGCACAGACACACATAACACACAGAAAGGCCCACAGACACACATAGCACCCAGAAAGGCCCACAGACACACATAGCACACAGAAAGGCCCACAGACACACATGGCACACAGAAAAGCACACATGGCACATAGCACTTGGCGCAGGGGGCACAGGACTCGCGGGCACGCACCTGGCGCAGGGAACCTGCAGGTAGATCAGACGCTCGGTCACGTCGATGACCGACCCCCGGTGGAGCCGGGCGATTTGCGGCCGCAGGGCCTCGGCCCAGGCCGGCGGGTGGAGGATGACCGCCGCCGCGGCCAGGAGCTCCGCATGGGCGATCTCCAGCCGGGTGTCCAAGTCGCCGGCCTCCTGCCGGAGGTAGAAGCGCCCGGCGGCCAGGTGCAGCCGCGCGGAGGCCGGCGCCGCCGGCAGCAGGCGCTCCAGCTCCCCGGCCACATCGGCCCCCGTGGGCCGCGGCAGGGAGACCACACCGGGCGGACGCACCAGCGGCGACTCGTCCGGCACATCGACCTGGCCAGGCGGACTGGCCGAAGTGCCCGCCGCCGCCGCCGCCGCCGCCGCCGGCTCGGCCCCAGGGGGAGGCGCATCGCCGGTGGGGGATGCGGGCCGCGACCCGGCCGACGGGCGGATGTCGCCGGGGTCGCTCTCCGCGCCGCCGGCCCCCTCCCCCGGGGGATCGACCCCGGGCCCGGGCCCGGGCCCCGGCACGGCCGTGTCCACCAGCGCGTGGCTCTCGGCCGCGGGGGCCGCCGGGGTGGCCCGGGCCCCGGTGAGCATGGTCCACAGGGAGGCGGCCGCGGTGCCGGCCCCGGCGCCCGGCGCCTCTCCCAACCCCTCAGCGCCCGGGGCCCGGGGCAGCGACTGGGCGATGGCCGTCATCGCCAGGCCGGTGGCCCAGCTCAGCAGCCCGGCCGTGCTCTGGGACAGGGACCCGGCGGCCGGGGCGGCCAGGGCCCGGGTCTCGGCGGCCGCGGCCCCGGGCCCGGCCGCCTCCAACGGCCCGCCGGCCGACACCGCCAGCGACACCAAGTCCGACCCGGGCAGCGACTGGTCCACCACCAGCACGCGCAGGCGCCGGCTGGGGCACGGGCTCAGCCGGCCGGCCACCCGGGTGTCCAGCAGCAGCGGCGTGGCTTCGACCAGGGCGCGCCACAGGCGCCGGGCCTCCGGCAGCGACACCGGCCGCTCGCCGGCCTCCAGGGGCGAGGAGGCTTCCTCGCAGGGGGGCAGGCCGCGGCCGTGGCCGGCGACCGCGGCCGCGGCCGCGGCCGCCAGCCCAGCCTGCCCGCCCGGCAGCGACTCGGCGCTGTACGCCTCCGACAGCTCGGACAGCAGCGACGAGTCGACCACCGGCACGGTCAGGTCCCGGAGGATGAAGATCGGCTCCTCCGGCTGGTCAATGGCCAGGCCGGCCGAGCCGGAGTGGAAGTCCAGGAAGCGGCACCTACGCCGGGCGGCAGCCGGGGGGGGGGGGGGGGGGGGAGGGGTTAGTAAGGCCGCCGACAGGGCGCAGGGCTCGGCGACCGGCAAGGGGACACACATGTTCTGGCCGTCCGGCCTCGAGGCCACATAGTGCCGACCGAGTGGCCGTCGGCCGTGTGGCCGCGCTCGACCAGCAGGCACCCGGCCTCGAAGGCGGGCTGGGCCCGGTCCTCCGGCTGGAGGATGGTCACCGGGACCGGGGCCCCGGCCGCCGGGGCCGGGGCCAGGCCCAGCAGGACATGCCGCCGGACCAGCAGCCGGCGGTAGGAGATCCCGGCCACGTCGGCCGGCCGGGCGATCGGCAGGACCAGCACCGGCTGCTGGTCCGGCGCGCCGCCCGGCGAGTGGGAGCCATTCTGCGCCCGGGGCGCACCGGCGGCCGAGGCGCCGACCCGGGGGCCAGCGGGCCAGCGGGCCAGCGGGCCAGCGGCAGGGCGGGGGGGGGGGGGGGGGGGGGGG